CTGGACTCCGCTTCATCCACAGTGAAAGCCGATCCGGCGATCCACAGCGCGAAGTTGATGTATTCCCTCAGCGACCAGCACGGATCATCTCTAGGCATGAGGAAGCGAATATCGTCCTCTTTTGGAAGGCCAGCACACAGCGCCTTCACGGCATGGCGGTGGCGGCAGCAACAATACTACAGCGAGAATAAAAGTTACGCCTTCTTTCTTTGCGTGAACATTTGGGCGGCGTTATGCAAATCTTCCCACATCGTGACGTAGACATGTGGGGGCGTGTTAGAACGAGCCGTTTTAGGTAGGCGTGGTTGACTCTTAACTTTTATAAAGAATATCTCTTTGGATTTGAGACTTTAGTCTTTGCAACTTTACAGATCTTCTTTATGCACCAAGAGCTTGTAACACTGCAAAGAGAAAGGAAAAATTGAAATCGCATCATATGACCCCTTTCATGTTCCATGAAGATATTTTCTAAATTTCCTACTGTAAATATATCAAAACTTAATTTTTGATTAGTAATATGCATTGCTAAGAACTTAATTTGGACAACTTTAAAGGCGATTTTCTCAATATTTAGATTTTTTTTTGCACCCTCAGATTCCAGATTTTCAAATAGTTGTATATCGGCCAAATATTGTCCTATCCTAACTAAATTTAGAAAAAAATTACCCTTATGACTGGTTTTGTGGTCCAGGGTCACATTTCAGTAAATCAAGATAATGAGACAAAGGAGAAGATGTGTTTTTAAAGTAATAATCCACCACAATATTTTATCTACTACCACTTTTCTCAGCAGCATTCTCAAAAAGACAGTTAAGGAATATGATAGTAATAGCAGCTTTTCATTTTGTTTTAAAACAGGTACTGAAGGACATTTTCTTGCGAATTATGAAGCAAACAATAAAACTGATCCAGCAAAAACAGTCAAAGGAGAGGGAAAGAGGAAGATGACTGTTCATAACCTGGAGCTTGAGAGCATTGTAATTGGTGAGTGTTTTTATGTGTAATTTCTCATGAAATCACATTAAATTTAGAAATAGTTTGTAGTGCGCATGTTCAGGATTTATGAATGATTGTGTTGTTTTTTGTGATGGACTGTTACTGTCTTCTAAAAAAATGTCTATTAATTTTTCAATTCTGAAAATACAATTCTGCTACTACATGAACCTAGAGTAGCAGCTGTTTAGATATAAACTGTAGCGCTACCCCTTAAAACAGACATTTGATTAATGTATCTTAAAATAGTTAACAGGAGACTTGAGACCACATGCAATACTTTAATATGTAACAAATTACACTCTGTGGCTAGTACAGAAGGTGAACTTATCGTGACGTAGACATGTGGGGGCGTGTTAGAACGAGCCGTTTTAGGTAGGCGTGGTTGACTCTTTTATAAAGAATATCTCTTTGGATTTGAGACTTTAGTCTTTGCAACTTTACAGATCTTCTTTATGCACCAAGAGCTTGTAACACTGCAAAGAGAAAGGAAAAATTGAAATCGCATCATATGACCCCTTTCATGTTCCATGAAGATATTTTCTAAATTTCCTACTGTAAATATATCAAAACTTAATTTTTGATTAGTAATATGCATTGCTAAGAACTTAATTTGGACAACTTTAAAGGCGATTTTCTCAATATTTAGATTTTTTTTTGCACCCTCAGATTCCAGATTTTCAAATAGTTGTATATCGGCCAAATATTGTCCTATCCTAACTAAATTTAGAAAAAAATTACCCTTATGACTGGTTTTGTGGTCCAGGGTCACATTTCAGTAAATCAAGATAATGAGACAAAGGAGAAGATGTGTTTTTAAAGTAATAATCCACCACAATATTTTATCTACTACCACTTTTCTCAGCAGCATTCTCAAAAAGACAGTTAAGGAATATGATAGTAATAGCAGCTTTTCATTTTGTTTTAAAACAGGTACTGAAGGACATTTTCTTGCGAATTATGAAGCAAACAATAAAACTGATCCAGCAAAAACAGTCAAAGGAGAGGGAAAGAGGAAGATGACTGTTCATAACCTGGAGCTTGAGAGCATTGTAATTGGTGAGTGTTTTTATGTGTAATTTCTCATGAAATCACATTAAATTTAGAAATAGTTTGTAGTGCGCATGTTCAGGATTTATGAATGATTGTGTTGTTTTTTGTGATGGACTGTTACTGTCTTCTAAAAAAATGTCTATTAATTTTTCAATTCTGAAAATACAATTCTGCTACTACATGAACCTAGAGTAGCAGCTGTTTAGATATAAACTGTAGCGCTACCCCTTAAAACAGACATTTGATTAATGTATCTTAAAATAGTTAACAGGAGACTTGAGACCACATGCAATACTTTAATATGTAACAAATTACACTCTGTGGCTAGTACAGAAGGTGAACTTGTGTGCACATAATTTTCATTGATGAGACCTGAGTTGGGTTTGAAGTTTAAATGTTGTTTAAAGAGGATAGAAGTCACTAGAATGATGTTTCCTTATAAAGTGTGTTGAACAGGTGGAGGCTTTTGGTAAGAAACTCAATTTTTTTGGTTAGAAAAGATTTCAGAACCATCTGAAGGTTTGTGGTGTTCATTTTTCACTTCAAAGTTACATCTAACTTGCATCTAACAAAGAATGCATGACTGCATTGATGACAGTAAAAGACCCCTTAACCCCTTTCAGCATTCTACTCAGTTATTGTTTCCATTTATCTAAAGCCTTCATGTTCCCCTGTACCTTGTCTTTGTGTCCTTAATTTTGTGGTAGAGTTGCTTCGGATTTGTTGCTGTAGAGATTGCTGTGAATAATAATGCTGCTTTATTTTATCATGAATGAGAAATGAGAACAGGTTGTTTTAACTGGTCAACACACCCAGATACCCCCATGTAAAGTTTACATTTATTATACCTTAATGTGCAAACAAAAATTATTCGCCATTTTTTGACATCAACTATAGGCAGAGTGAAAGTACATTCTGACAAAACATAACAAAAGTGGTAAAGTACAATAGAATGTCACACAGCTTTGTGTTAAATATAGAGAACAGAAACTAAAATCAGCCTACATAATTGGGGTCAAATTTGTCTTAAAGTAAGTAGATTGGAGTAAGAACCAACTCACACTGTTTTCCTAAAACTGACTGCCATCTGAATTTCAGCAGGAGTTAATTAGACAAATAAAGGTTTCCATTAATTTGCCAATAGTAATATCAGAAAAGATAAGGTTCATTGCATGGTTTCTTTCATTCCAGATCTACTTCTTGCCTTTCAGTATTAGAAGGTAATACGTCTAATAGAACCAACTCTTGAGCTCATGGCACCCCAGTCGCTGTACCTCCTGTATTTGCCAGGTCTCACAGCCTGGTCTCATGTTTATACGTAGGTATAAATACGTAACATTTACAAGCACAAAACGTACACTTTTGTACGTTTTTAGTCATGCTCTCAGGAGGTATTGTCTGCCTCTGTAATTAGGGTGCTCATAGAAGATCCAGTATCCATCTTGAACATTGCAAGAATGGGTATCATTGTAATGGAATCGATCATAAAAGGATGGACAGTCATCAGTGAACTCCATCATCTGACCACCAAAGTCTGAACGTTCATAAATTGTCATTTTGTAGGATCCCTGATGCTACGGATTGAAAACACATTTATTTAAACATCACAGACCAAGCATACTGTAAGATTTGGAATTGTAAGTAAAAGGGGAAGCCTCACTTGGGGTATCATTCGACAGGATCTGACACAATCATTGAAACCCATCCACTGTTGGTAGTGAGCATATTCGCCTTGTCGCAGAAAGTACTGGTAACCCATAAAGTGTGTCCGCTCGTATACCATCCAGTTCCCACTCTCAACCTGAATAGAGTTACAGCTACTGAAATGAGAGTGCAGGTCAGCACAGTCACTAGTGCACTCATAGGAGTGGCTCTGAAAGTTCTTGTCTTCATTGAAGATGATCTGTAACCAAGTTTTTTGTTGTTTTATTTTTATTGTATGTTATGCATTCACACACAAATAACCCCACTCCCCTTCCAGAAGTTTTGCAGATAACATTGTTTATTAAACTTACAAATATTCAATGAGACAAAGATTAGACACACCTCACCTTTCCCATTGTGTTGAATCAGTGTTGTCCTATGCTGAGAGAGGACTACTGGGATCCTTTTATATACTTTAGGAAAAGAGCCATTGTCAGTGACTTCAATTAACTTCAGATGTCAGCTTTTTGCTTTATTGAAAGAGTGGTCAGCTGCTGAACAACAATAGGAATTTGTATCATTTGGCAGTAGACCAAATTATTATTTGTTATCTTGTGAATGATAACAGTGCTGCTCATTAACCCCTTGTGTTCATGAATGTTTGAATTGTGATTTTAATGTAGCGCAGGATAAATACCAAATGATGCTGACGTGTTAATATAAATTTCCTCTATGCTCTTCAAGGGCAAGCTACTTGCCTTGTTATGGCATTGACATCTCCAGAGTTGTGCATGTTTTAGGTGACGTTAGATGATGTAACAGACATATTCGTGCTGAAACCAAATGTAGTTATGAATTATTTAATGGAAATATCAAATACAGTACAACACTAGTACCAAGGCTCTGTAATGTGCCTCATGCTCATAAATTTCATGCCACCCATTTCTCTGATGTGTCGAGGCATGGACTACACAAGACCTCTGAACATGTCCTGTGGTATCTGGCACCAAGACAATAGCAGCAGATCCTTTTAGTCCTGCAAGTTGCAAGGTGGCGGCTCCATGGATCGGATTTGTTGGTCCAGCACATCCCACAGATGTTCAATCTGGGGAATTTGGAGGCCAAGGAAACACCTTAAACTTTTTGTCATGTTCTTCAAACCATTCCTGAACAATTTTTGCCTTGTGCATTATGTTGCTGAAAGAGTCCACTGTCATCAGGGTACACCATTGCCATGAAGAGATATATATGGTTTGCAGCAACATTTAGGTAGGTGCTGTGAGTCAAAGTAATGTCCTCATGAATGCCAGGACCCAAGGTTTCAGCAGAACATTGCCTAGAACATTGACCCATTCTGCTGCCATGCCTTGCCTAGCTAAACAATGCACACACACCTGGCCATCACCCTGATCTAAAAGAATATGTGATTTATTAGACATTCTTCCATTCTTTCATTGCTCCATGGTCCAATTTTGATGCTCACATTCCCATTGTAGGCATTTTCAACAGTGTTCATCATGGGAACCAGTCTGCTGCTATGCTGCCCCATAATCAACAAACTGCAATGCACTGTGTTCTGATGTCAAATTTTTCAGAAGTTTGAGCTACAGTAGCTCTTCTGTCTGATCAGACCAGACAGGCTAGCCTTCACTCCCCATGTGCATCAGCGAGCCCTGGGTGCCCATGACTGATTGTTCTTCCGTGCACCACTTTGGGTCGGTACTAACCCATTCATACAGGGAACATCCCACAAGACTAGCCATCACTATTTGGCCCTTGACAGAGTCACTCTGATTTTTTTTGCATGCCCATTTTTCATGCTTTCAACCAGTGTTGGGGGTAACGTATTACAAGTAACATGAGTTATGTAATCAGCAAGTAACGAATTACAAATACTCACGTTACAGTAAGCAAGTCGTTTTTATCAGTAATTGTACTTTTTTGAGTAGTTTAAAAATTGTGTACTTTTACTTTTACTTGAGTACATTTTAAGTGATGTATCGGTACTTTTACTCTGCTATTTTCCTCCATTTGTGGTCGTTACATGCTTATTTAAATTAAATTTTTCAACGTGATTGGATAGAGAGTAATAGGTCTCGTGACTTTCGTCAAATCAAATTGTGCATAGAAAACTTTAACCGCCAACTTTATCATGGCTGCTGGAAGCGCATTCTTCAAGCATCAATTCAGTCGCATCTACCTCTAACTTAATATGTTAAGGTAAATTTAGGATTTCTGCTTAAATGATTTGCTACTGTATATGCTTGCCTATCTACACGGCCTGAAATTTGGTGTGAGGTTGCGGGTATTGCGTACAGTGTTAACTCCCGCAAGTGCCAAGTTCGATAAATTTCCACTCCCTTATGAGACGCGCGATCTGCGCCACCTCGTCTCTCTCTCACGTGCATTCTGCAGCAGTCACTTGGATAAGTCGTTGTTGCTTGTTGAACTTGTTGACATTTGATGAGTTTGAGCGCGTGATGCACGCTGTGAAAAAGTGTGTTGGAAACACAAATTGAGGACCAATCTGCACCTTATTGATGACCCTTGGCGTTAATATACTGCATCTGTGCCAGCGCGTGATGTAATAATGCTCGTTAATAAACGTTTTTTTTTTTTAATTATTTTTAATTGTTTATCCATTTTATACAATCCGCCTTCATTTAGCAAGTGCATGCATAAACAATTTTCAAGTTCAACACTTTTTGTTCCGTTCAGTTGTGAATGCTGCTGATTCACCGAGACCGCCATCATGAACTTCCGTCTGCTTGCCATCAGAGGTCACCCTTTCCATTACATTGACTCTCGTACTACACAAACTGTTGCATATTATCCTGGACTACATATCCCATCATCCATTGTACTGATTGCACACCTTATTGATGACCCTTGGCGTTAATATACTGCATCTGTGCCAGCGCGTGATGTAATAATGCTCGTTAATAAACGTTTTTTTTTAAAAATTATTTTTAATTGTTTATCCATTTTATACAATCCGCCTTCATTTAGCAAGTGCATGCATAAACAATTTTCAAGTTCAACACTTTTTGTTCCGTTCAGTTGTGAATGCTGCTGATTCACCGAGACCGCCATCATGAACTTCCGTCTGCTTGCCATCAGAGGTCACCCTTTCCATTACATTGACTCTCGTACTACACAAACTGTTGCATATTATCCTGGACTACATATCCCATCATCCATTGTACTGATTGCACACAGCACTGATTGCACACAGCTGTATCCAATCACACATTCACTATATATCACTCAATCTGACTCCTATCAAACGGCCGAGTATTGTATGCGCTTATCGGCAGCAGTGATAGCTACTTTACAGAGCCCTCGTTAGTTTCCCAGTCCTAGCCTAGTCTTGCCCTGTCTGTTTCTGTTCACTGATTGTTGACCTACGCTAGCCCTAGGATTAATCTTGTGTCTTGCCCGCCATATACCTGTTTGCCAGTGTTCGACCCTGCCTGTGTTTCTGACCTCTTCTGCTTTAAATAAATGCTTGCACATGGATCCGCACGTCTCACGTCTTGTCAGCCCTGTAACAGAATACTCGGCCACACAAGGATCCAGCGGCTTTTCCAAAGGACATTTGCCAGGTATGATCACAGCGATTCTGCTACTAGCTCTCAAGCAGGGCACACGATCACTTGAGGATTACATTACGGAATATTTGGCTTTGGCTAATGGCTCAGAATTACCGGACTGCATGGTAATTGACTCCTTCTGTGATGGCCTTAACCAGCCTGTAAAATCACGAGTGATTCATGAGGGTCCTCGTTCGTCTCTAAGTGATTTTATGGACTATGCTCTATTATCTGTTGGTTCAGCGTTCACTGTGGGTATCGCGGAGGAATGCGACCCCGCACTCACTCGTGTAATGGCGGCCACACTAGAGCATGCTCACAAAATGGTGGCGCCAGCGGAGTCTGATCGCAAAAAGGCGGACACAACAGCGCGCCGTTATGTCACAGCTGCCAATCCTGAGTCAAATTAAGTCACAGTTGATCTTCATGAGTCAAGTCAAGTCACAACAGATTTTCACGAGTCAAGTCAAGTCACAACAGATCTTCACGAGTCAAGTCAAGTCACAACAGATCTTCATGAGTCAAGTCACACCTGATCTTCATGAACCAAGTCAAGTCACAGTTGATCGTCGTGAGGCAAGTCAAGTCACACCTGGTCTTCCTGAGTCCAGTCAAGTCACAGCTGATCTTCATGAACCAAGTCAAGTCACAGCTGATTTTCCAGAGCCTCGTCACGCCTCAGCTGATCTGCCAGAGTCAAGTCAAGTCACAGCTGATCTTCCTGAGTCAAGTCAAGTCAAGTCACGGCTGATCTTCATGAGTCAAGTCAAGTCACGGTTGATCTTCAAGAATCAAGTCAAATCACGGCTGATCTTCATGAGTCAACTCAAGTCACAGCTTCCATTGCTGAGTCAAGTCAAGTCTCCGCTGATCTACCAGAGCCTCGTCACGTCTCAGCTGATCTCCCAGAGCCTCGTCACATCTCAGCTGTTTGTCCAGAGTCTTGTCACGTCTCAGCTGATCACCCAGAGTCACGTCATATCACAGCTGATCACCCAGAGTTACGTCACCTCACAGCTGATCATCCAGAGTCACGTCACCTCACAGCTGATCATCCAGCGTCACGTCACGTCCTGTCTGTGGCACCCAGATTATCAAGGTCAGTCCTTCGGTATCCCAGTCTGGTATCCAGTGTGAGGGATGCACCGCTGGTGTCTGTGAACCGGCCACGAAGGCCATCTGTGAACAATTGTCCTGTCTCAACCCGGCTGCAGAGGCTGTCTGTGAACTTACGTCCAGCCCTGAATTGGCCACGCTTATGAACTCACTTCCTGTCCTGTAACAGCTATGGAGGCCATCTATGATCTCTCTGCCTGTTCTGTTCCGGCCAAGGAGGTCGTCAGTGAACTCTTTGTCTGTCCTGTCACGGCTATAGAGGCCGTTTGCGAACTCCCTGCTTGTCCTGTCACGGCTATGGAGGCCGTCTGTGAACTCTCTGCCCGTCCTGTCACGGCCATGGAGACCGTCTGTGAACTCTCTGCCTGTCCTGTCATGGCTAAGGAGGCCATTTATGGACTTTTCTCCTATCCCGACCCAGCCAAGGAGGCTGCCTCTGAACACTCAGCCTTGTCTATCCCACCCAATGTTCTGTCTGTGTTGTCTGTCTTTGCTCTCTCTATGTTACAGTCTCTGCCATGGTCTCCTGGTCGGTTTGGTTCGCCGTGGGGGTCTCCTGCTCTGTCTGCTCTGCAGTGGTGGTCTTCTGCTCCGTCTGCTCCGCCGTGGTGGTCTTCTGCTCCGTCTACTGTCTGGCTCTGGTGGTCCTCTGCTCCACATTGATGGTCTTCTGTCCTGCTCTGGTGGTCTTCAGCTCCACCTGTACTGCCGGCTCCGCCATGGCTCTCTGC